ACAGTGCTCCGCCTACTCTAACGGAAGCGAAACAACGATACCTGCCTTAAAAAGCATGTTATCCAAGAATGATTGTTGACTCTTTCGAATAACATCATGCCGCGGGTCTCAAAAATGCTGTATTTCTCTGCCGTTATGGATCACGGAATAATGGCACGAAAAATGTGTCCAGGCCTCTTATGAAGATTTTTGCGTCTGTAAATTATATGAGCTTGACTTGACTTCCGACCTTGTGCTCTTATTCAGTTGCGACCCCCCACCCCCTAAATAAGCAGTGAATAGCAGATACTCCAGTCTGCCGAGTTCTGTCTTCAGGGATCAGCTAATTTTCTATCTTTTGACACTATCTGAGCACACTTTGATAACAGCCTAAATTTACCATTCTAATAGAGTTGGAACTTTCTTTTCCTGCCGTTACTAATCGAGACGTTTCCCTTCACGATGAAGCAGAGCAGTCGAAAAAAACCTTGACATAATACTGAGAGCCTTTGTAAAGTTCGTTCGTATTGGGCAGGAACATGACAAAGAAATTAATGTTTCCAGGTTCGAAATATAATTGTCTATCATAGAAAATTACATTATTATGTAGAACACTCGATGCAGTTTGAATTTTTAAGAGATCTTTTTAAGTATTATTCAGAACATCCAGTATGTATACACAAGGTACATTATTTGCCTTTGTGGATCATTGAAAATACTGCATAGAAATATGTTTAGGCTGAAATTGTTCTCAAAAGAGGCGTACGTCTTGCTAGATGGGAGCTACAACATAAAAATGTGACGATAGGAAGAGTCCTTGGGCAAGGAGCATTTGGAGAAGTACGGAAGGGGACATTGTTGAGACGACCTGGAAAGTCTGTGCCGGTAGCAGTGAAGACAGTTCGTTCGCTTTATCCTGTTTTCTGTCAAACACTGCCTTGAGGCACCACATGATCAACCAATTTTCAGCTTAAAAGCGATACCGAATTATCAAAAGCGAAAATCAAAGAAATGATGAAAGAAGCACGTTTGATGAGAAATTTGAAGCACCCTAATGTTGTATGCATCTATGGTGTTGCGCTCTTAGAGCAACCGTTGTACATTGTACTCGAATTTGTTCCTGGTGAATACTTTGCTGCTGTTTCGTTGAATATTGAAATCCAGAAATTGGCGGAGAGTTGCAGTACAAAAATATTCAAAACTTACTTTAGGAGGAGCGCTTGACTCTTATCTGAAGAGGAACAAAGCAACTATAGACAGAGACGAGCGGTTACTAATGGCGATGGGAGCCGCCTGGGGAATGGAATACCTCCATAAAAGCAGTGTTCTCCATAGGGACATCGCTGCACGAAACTGTCTATATGACACGGACAAAATAGTAGGTTTAATCTCATAGAATCGCCGGGGATAAGCGGCCATACGTATGGGCAAGCGGGCACGGATAAAATAGTCCGCTCATTTCTTGCGTCCGCTTGCAGAGATTAGGGAGATTTTTGACAATTTTTTAGAGGAACGCTTACACAATAACTGCGGCTTCTTCATAAAATGGTTGGGCGCAGTGGCCGCATTCCCGCGGACTTTCCGCGAG